CCCCTCAGGAGCTGCAGGGTCCCGGGGCCAGAGGCCCCCTCAGGAGCTGCAGGGTCCCGGGACAGACGGACCACAGCCCCTCGGTTCATCCTGTGACGGAACTGGAATGTCTGCCACAGGGAGGGGGTGAGAGAACTGGGTTGTGAGCACTGGACCAGTGGTTCTCAAACTGTGGTACACGGAGCACCCCCCAGGTGGTACGCCAGACGACTCTGGAAATTTGTTGTGTGCACTGAAAAAATTTTTTTTTTAAATTAAAAATTGGCTGAAATGATTTCAAGTTTTCATCAGGAATTGACTTAATCGGTTTCAGAAAGCTTGAGACGGGGGCAAAAATGCGTTTGTGTGTCAAATACGCAGCGCACGTACTGTGCTACGTCGATACAGCGCGCGCTAATACTCGAGTGTGCAGACTCCTCTCGAGCTTCCAGAGACGCAGCTGAGCGCCACGCTCGCCACTGAACAAGTGATCGAAATTGAACACCTCGCAAAAATCAAGTACTATGTCCTGGCTGAAAGGAACAGACGCCAAGAGTACGGACGCCGGCTCAGACAGATCACGCACACCCGCTGAGCACCAGCAGGATTATACATCGGCCACATCAAGACAAGAGGACACCCTGAGGAACTGTCCTGTTGCCTTGTCTGGGAAAGGGGATGGGGATGGAGAGGGTTTTCAAAATACCCCACGTTTCATGTTCATTGGTAAAGTAACTGTGATGAGATTTAACTGTGTGAAATGCATAAGCCCGCTCTGCTGCAATAACAGCATCCACTCTTTTGCTGCCAGATTTGACAAAAGAATCTGTTCATTTGGTTGACGAACTCCTCTCCCCGAATGGCCTTTTTGTGTTTGTCCGAGTCAACAAGAGCTTGCAAGTCAACTACTCCTTTATCTGCCACGGAGACAAACGTAGCAGGCTTGCACATCAAACACTCAGCTTCCCAGTCTGCTCTGCCACTTCGAAAAACACGGAAACTGATTTTTTTAGTTCCGCTGTGAATTTACACTTTCGCTTTGGCACTGTGTTTGAGGGTAGGAAATGTGTGTATGTTAATCCCGACGACCGCCGACACTAGCTCCGACACTGAGCCTGACACAGACAGCACTGCTAGTGTTAGAAAGCGTCAGAAAAAAGCTACAGGCTGTTCCAATCCAAATGAACTAAGTGCTCGGTGAAATTTGGTATTATAGGCGTCCGTGAGTCATGTTTGGTCATTGAGATTTTCTGGGGTTCCTATGAGAAGATGACCTGGAGGTGGCACTTGGTTTGATCAGGGGTGGCACTTGGTCCAAAAAGTTTGAGAACCGCTGCACTAGACTATAACCAGCAGAAAGGCTGAAAAAGCAGAAAAAATGACCTGGGGTGTGTTCAGGGGCGCCAACGGTCTCATTCTGGGGGTTCTCATCTGACGGACAGGCCAGCTGCCGGACCCCGTTCTGCAAGGTGCCTGGGCGCCTGTTTGCACTGTGGAAAATAAAAAAAAAAGCCCAAAACAAACACAATTAACAAACACACAAAGGTGAGGAAGGAGAGGCCCTTTGGCCTATGCAAGCTTGTTTGGCTGCTAGTGCCTTACTTGTCCTGGGGTCTCACACAACACTTCTCCAGAAAGACTCCAGAAAACCAGAACTACAATCACAGTTCAAGGCCACCCTCTATTAGGCTGATAATCCGCTGTTAAGGTGATAAATGTTTTGTCCGAAAGGGAAGAAGCAGTATTCTAAGATACAGTTCAGTGTAATAATACTGTGACCTGGCCGAAAAAGTGAGAATGTGTTGTTCTGTTCTATGGGTATAGGTGCTGCTAATTAAACGGGAGATTACGGAGACCGAGCGATCCCGTGCCATCTCTTTCCCCATGTATGGGATAGCTACGCTTGCTCGGGGATGTATTAACATGGCTGCTTGCTGAGAAAAATTAGCCGAGGAAACCTCTGAGGGGACAAAAGCTATAAACGATGAAATGGTAGCTCTCCGAACGGTTGCTATGCAAAACTGGGTGGCTCTTGATTACTTGCTGGCTGCACAGGGTGCTGTAATAGGTGCTGAAAGCTGCACCTATGCTCCTGACACTTCTGAACATATCACTGATTGAGGCCAACATATTTATGACGAGGGCCAAAAGTGCCACAGCTATAATCCTGATGATTGGGGTATATCTACATGGCTCAGGTCTGTGTTCGGGAATTGTGATTATCTTTGAAACTTCAGCGTATTTCAAGGCTGTAAGGGAGGGCAAGCATCATGACCTCTGGAATTCTGGGCAGACAGATAACCACAACTTCTCTTAATGGCCAATTGTTCTGAACACGATCTTAACCATACACCCTGACAAATTCCTTGTAGCCATGGAAATCTTGACGTTACTGGGCTGTCTAAAGGTAGCTGCGTGCTTTGTATTCTCTGAACACCCCTACCGTTGGAGGCGGTCCTTGTAGGCACATAATAAAGCCTATCTGTTTTCACTCTCATCCCGGAGCAAGAACTCTTCTGTCACAACAAGGCTACCTGCCTCACCTGAGCTGATTAAACAAGGATCAATCCAGAGCCTGAGAGCTATTCCTGTGGGAAATTCTTCAGTAGCTGAGCAGGAGACGGCTTCCTGCAGATTCTGCTTTTACCGAGCTCTGTACAAACAGCAGCATGGCATTGAGACTGCCCTGCAGGACAGACTGGACAAAACCTGCTGGGGCTTTCTGGCTCTGTGATACTGCACAGCAAGACGCAGGCAGGTTTGTTTCAGAGTGGAACAGGCCTTCTCTTAACGACCTCGTTATGAACGGACTCCCAGTACTGCAGCTTTTACAAAGTCAACTCATGCCTCACTTCCACAGAGCCTGAGACCTTGAGCCAACACATTCCAGTCATTATCTCAAGGCCGTTTCCTTAATCTATAGCTTAGACAACAGCTGGGCAACCACAAAAGCATTTCCAAGGCCTGCAGTTTGAGAAGCACTGATGCACGTAAACAAAATAGTTATTTTTCTGCGCCTTTTGACATCTCATCCCGCAGTTTCTGGAGAGAAACCAGAGTACAGGTGTCAACAACAGCTTGTTCCACACTCCCACCACCCTCTGTGTAAAGAAGAGCCTCCTGTGCTGACTGGAGGAGCTCACCCAGCTGTGTCTGGAGAGCAGCCAGGGTATCGGCTTCAACAATACAGCTAGGCAGCTTGTCCCACACCCCAACCCCCCCTTTGTGTAAAGAAGAGCCTCCTGTCCTGACTGGAGGGTCTCACCCAGCTGTGTCTGGAGAGCAGCCAGGGTATCGGCTTCAACAATACAGCTAGGCAGCTTGTCCCACACCCCAACCCCCCCTTTGTGTAAAGAAGAGCCTCCTGTCCTGACTGGAGGGTCTCACCCAGCTGTGTCTGGAGAGAAGCCAGGGTATCGGCTTCAACAACATGGCTGAGCAGCTTGTTCTACCCTCCTGCCACCCGAAAGTATTCTGCATTCACCTCTGCCCTGGGTGCTCCTAACTCTCTCTCCAGCTGGAAGCTGAAGGAAGCAGTGAGGCGGCGACACTTACACACGACGACGACGGTGGGCTCCCCCTGTCCCTCCTCCCTGTCCAGCTCCTCCTTGCACCCGGTCTCCGCCCCGGGCCCGTGGTACACCGTGTACCTCACCCTGCGCAGGAAGGGCTTGATCTGGGCGGGCACCGACTCAGACGCCCGCTCGAAGGCCACACGGGCGCCTCCGGGGGTCCTGCGGTCGCTGGCGGGCATCCTCGCGCACTGGGGCGTCCTTTCCGCTTGAGGCCTGGAATCCGGCCTGCTGTCCTCCGCGTTCATACACACCTGCACCAGCTCCTCCTCAACCGCCTCCCTCTTGATGGGCCCCCCTGCCAGCCCGGACACATCCTCCATCACACGGAGAGACCGGCGCTCTCCTGGCGCAGGGTGGGCACGGGCAGAGTAAAGAGGGGCAGTGCCCAGGTCAGGGCGCTCGTCTTTAACCTGGACCAAGCTCAGGTGGGAGCCCGGCGCCGCCGTGGGAAACCCCCTCCGCTCATCGACCTCCTGCTTCACCGCGGCCCCCCGCAGCTCGGAGACCCCTGCCCCGGCGTGGGCAGCGTCCCGGCGGTCCGGTCGGGGGACCCTGCTGCTCTCGCAGGCCGGCTCGGCGGAGCTCCACAGGGAGCTGCACCACTCCTGGTCGAAGACCCTCTTGATGACGGGGCCCGGCCCCTGCGCGCTGCGGGCGAGGGCCTCCTCCCGGGCTCCTGCAGAGAGACAGGGGAGACGGCTCTCTCACTCGCAGCCCCGGGGCAGCGGGGAGGGGACCTTCCACAGCCAGCCCCTAGGAGGGGCGAGACGCAGCTTCGCCGACTGGATGAAACCTTCCGCCCCCGCCTGGACACGTCCAGGAATGAGCGAGTGATCGCGCACAGCCGGATCCATCAGCCGTCGGCCACGAGACCCCCCCCTCACGCAAGTGTATTTTATTTCTGGACGTCAGGGCTTTGAAGAAAGCTATGAGATGTGAGGTTAACCAATTTCTTTCGGCACAAAGACTTCTTCTGGGACAAAACACGCTCCAGCACTTTGGAGGTACGGCAGGGATGGGAGTTCACTGATAAGAGATTCCCAAGTGCGAGCTGGAGACTCCCTAACCGTGGGAAGATGAGACCGGCCATTCAAAGTGTTCAAGGTCTTGG